TGGCAAGTGGCTTCCCAGAGGCATTCACAGAGGACAGCTGAGAGGCAGGATCTGCTCCAGCATAACTGTTAGATGTGTGAGAAGTGGGATTGCAAGAAACTGTCTTGTAATACTTACAAACAGAGATAATTCTGTGGTGAGCTGCTCTCCTCAGAGAAATCTCTTAAATGGTAAAGGCTCCATGTAATAAAAGGAAGAAGAAGCAACTTGAGTGTATCCCTCTTCTTTTGCTGTCATATGTTACCGATGGGAGTGCCTCCTCCATGACTGTATGTAGGCCAGGGGAATCCCAGTTCTGTCTGCTGAGGCAATTCAGATTAGACAATGAAGTTTTAAGAATGAATTGCCATAGACAATACCATGGAAAGTGTAGTGTATTAGTATAATATCCTGATCCTGCTTTATTCTACCATGTTATAAAGGATGAGGATAAAAATTAACTTAAACTCACCCAGCACAGAAGAATCTTTCTATTTCTTTCTGAGTCCTGAGGAATGCGAAGGCCTCCTGACCATCTTGCTTTCCTTTTTTATTTGGCCTGATCACTTCCCCCAACACATAGTTCATGTGTTGGATCAAGAAGGAAATTTAAGTAACAATTCCTTTTCTTACTTCTTTGGTTTGTGCGACAGGATTGCCTTTCCCTTGTGTTAGAGAGTACAGTTACACTTTTAAAGGTGGATACCAGCAAGGCTGAGACCAAGAATGGAAAGGGAGGCATAGAACTAGTTTTCATTTTCTACATCACCAGAAGCACACTATGAGGTTAAGCTACCTCTAGTTATAGACACTGGGGAAGCATGTGACCTTTCATCAAGATGTGTAAGTTAGATTAGAAAATAATAACATTATTTTGACTAATTTATTCCATATGTTTACTTGATAGACAAGGGTGATTTTTTTTTTTTTTTACCTTCTGTATTTACCCTTTTCTGAGTTATTCTCTAGAAATCAAGTAAATTTGTGTACAAATCACAGCTCTGACAAAACTAAAGATGGGCTGTACTTTCATAACTTCTCTGGATAAGTTTTCATGTGGTATGTCTCATAGATGCTGTTGTTTTATACAACTCTCCTAATACATTACTTTAAATAGGATGTTTTAAGATATTCTAACTGCAGGGAAAGCATGGTGTTTGTAATGCGTTGTACTGGACAAGCACTTTTTGGCAGCAAGTCTGCCTGCCTAAAACTTGTTGAGGGAATAGAAAATACTCAGTGCATTAAGCGTATTTAAAACAAATTTAATTCAGTTATAGCAGCATTTAGAGTATTTTGGTACTAACTGATGTGCAAACATTTCACCTGCAAGTAGGCATGTGGGAAGCAGTGGCAGAAGTAAAGTATATCAGAAGAGGCAAAGGAGAGTGAAATAAAAAGGACACCACTTTACATGTTGTGAGTCCTTTGTCCTGAATTTCATACGCCCATACTGATGTCATTCTGGAAGAGGAAGAAGGCTGGCTCTGTATCCACCCAGCTTTTCCAGCAAGCAAGGCCTCCCCAGTGGGTAGAATGGAGTTTGCTGTGGAGTGTCTTGAGAGCTATGGGGTAACAATGACAGCAGAAAGCTAGCTCTTGACAAGCCATTGGTAACTTCAAGTCTGCAGGGCCTTTATGCTCAGCTGCACCTCCTTGGTCCTATGTTACAAATTCTGCCTGGGAGATAACACTGGAAACATGGGGAGTACTGTGTGCTTCTCGTTGGGCTCCTTGATTGCTTCATCCTGCAGTCGCCAAGGCTCATCAGGGCTCAAACTGGGAGACTGTGCTGTGGGTCTGACAGCAGACCTCTCCTTCTCCTGACCACTTTATACTTTCAGTTCAGCCACTTCTGCCTAGAGCTGCTACAGCCACCACCATTTCCCCCCTGACGCTGATGGATTTAGCAGTAGGTTGGTAGCAGGCAGCATGAGTATGCTCTGGCTCTGGGTCAGTTGAGTTCAAGACAGATTTAGTCTGCCCTTTGCCGAGTGGGTGCACATCTATCTGTCCTTCCAGAGATAATAGAACTTCAGGCACTGAGATGATTGGTTTGCTTTCTTTGAGATCTGTCATTTGGTTGCCAGTAACATTAATAGAGCTGGAATATAAACCATACTGAACGTAAAACATTTGGGCTTCAGTGTGCCGGGCAGATATCCATGTAGGAGAAGGGCAATTAAATTCTCTTGCATTACAAACCTTATAGAATAAGGCTCTGGCTGAGGTCTTGCACATATGGGAACTTTCTCTGGTGAAGCCTTATGAGTCGTCGTTCTGGTTGCCAATAATATGGATAACTAAAAGGCTTAACAATTAGGAAAGAAGGAAAACAAAGATATACACCTGTCAAACCGTTTATATTTTTAATGTACAAGTGAATAAACGTTTCGCTTTTGTACGCTGTTGCCCTTAACACCAGCTGTTGCCTGTGCACGTGGATCAGCATTTTATATCGGCTGAACAGCCTTGCTGCCAGCAAGCACACTAACTGGCAACGTTGATAACAGCAGTCTTCCCCCACTCCATACAATTTGAGCTATTCTTCAAATTAATAATAATACTTAATAAAGCTTCATCTCTCATTTGCAAAGAAAACCTTCAATTAATGTTAATCAGCATCCTCAGAATGTGATCAGGCTGGGCTTGTAGCTGGACGTGCCGAAACAGTTCAACTGGCAGATGGAGCATTTTCCAACTATTCTAATTAATGACTGCTCATTTCAAATGTTAATGCAATTAAATAAATAGACAAAACAAATGAAAATAATATATGTTATGAAAATGACACTGTAAGAGAATGTTCCAATCAAAAAAGTGAGCCTCCCTCAAACCCAAAAAGGGCCAACCATCGCCTTCTGGCTAAATAAGGTTTAAAAAGCCAGGGCTTGCTTTCATTACTTGCTGTTTCCAACTGTTTCTCTGGGATCAACATTTATATCACTTCCATTCTAACCTGCTGGCATCAGCTGTGTCATTGCTTCTCCAAGTATTAGAACGTTTTTCTGCAGAAAATGGGAAAGGATTTCCTTCATGTATTACGGGTGCTTTTTTATGCAAGCTTTAGACTGCTGCTGCTTCTTGTCTTTTCTATTTGAACTAATTGCCTGATTTTTTCGTAAGGGTTTTATTTTCTGTGAACCTTGTATACCATAGCACTGATGCAGGACCACATTTGTTTGGGCTTATAAAGAGTTCAATTAGACCCTTAATACCTAGTTCAGTCACAATTAAACCTTCCCTGTTGACTCAGGATTGGTCTTTCTAAAGGCAGTGGAGGTGGTTTTAATTATTCATTCTCTGGTTTGTTTCTTACAGCAGTCTCAGCTGTGCTTTATTATTCAAAGGTTAATGCAAACTGAGAACTGGGTAAATTAAATTTGTTTGGCAGCTAGCAACCTGATGTATTATAGACACTGTGAAATATGGATGGCAACACTTCTGCTATTATGACACTTAAAAAGCCAGATTTTATCTTTAAAACAATTGCTAGTTTTGTTATTATGGCTGATAGAAAATGAAAGTTCCATAATGTTATAGTCTGTAACCCATTTTTGTTAAGAAATCACGTAGTTTAGAAAGCCAAGAAGTATTAACAGCTATTATAGAAAATTGATGTAGGTACCATGACTAATGAAGTACACCGAGCAGCACTAAGTCATGCAGTTGTATGCAGGGAATCATGCAGTCAGAAGTTTTAATGAAGGGAGCCCAAGGAATTTCAGGTGAAAGAGGGTTTTATTAACTTTCAGTGAACAAAATGAATAGTTAAGCAGTGAACATGACATGATGTCGTATAATAATTGTATGCCTTGGGTACATTGTGAGGCATGGAGCATAGCCAAGAGCTTTCATCTGTTCTACGCATAGGGTTATTTCACAAACCCCTGCCTGCTGTGGAAATCTTTATTGCAAACATAGTAAGAATTGTTTCACAAGAAATGCCTTAAGACAATACCACATTGCTTATTTGAAATATATACCAGCCCCAACTTCCTCTCAAAAATATTAATCAGGTATCTAGAAGTTACCATCCCGATTGATCCTAATTAAGATTCGGGTCCTCTACCAGTGACTGATATCAGCAGACTGTGTACTGAAAAAAAGCCTTCATACTCCTTAAGAGGCCACCCTGAGTAACATTATGTTGAATGAAAGGAGGCTGTGTTGGCCTTTGGACGGGTCATGCCCAAGAACTTTTATTAGGTTTTAATTTTGTTTTTCTCAGGAATTGACCGTGTGGGTGAGAGATTTTTCTTGTTTCCCATACAGGATTATCTTGTAATATCTTGTAATATTGTTTCAGTACTGTGTTTTTAAACAAGGACTTCGAATTTGAGGGTTGGACTATTAGGTGATCTCCAGAGGTCCCTTCCAACCCTAACAATTCTGTGAATCTGTAACACAATCCAACAGTTTAACCTGCTTTCTGTTTATATTTTTAAGATAGGGTAACAATTGCAGAGAAGAGCAGCCTTCTGTAGTAGAGACTGGATTAGTAACTTAGAAAGTACATCTGCAAGGTTGTTTGTACCCTGCTCAGTCTTTAGTACAGTCTGTGCTGTATAATAATGTGTGTAATTAAACTGCTACTGAATGATGAAGTAGGTGGATGAAGAGGTAGGTGAAAATAGGATGGCTTCTGAGGCAAGACAGTCACAAGACATCTCAGCAAAGTCTCTGTTATCCTTGCACTGTAAATACTTCACATCTGCCCACTAAAATATTTGAGATGAGACAGTTGGGAATTTTTCTGTGCTTATTTGAATAATTTATAATGTGATTTTAATACTTCTTCCTGGCTGAATATATCACTTCACTGACAGAGTTTAGGACATCAGTTACATGTTTTATCCAGGACTAACTTAATAAATGTGATACACAATTTTAACTTGTAGTGATGAAAGATACATACTTTTAACTTGCAAAACCAGCGGTACTACCAATAGAGTATAATTGATGCAGTATATTCTTGACTGTATGTAGTTATTATGTTATATTTTTGTTTTCTATTTTAGTGCTGGACCCAAAGGAGACAACATTTATGAATGGAGGTCAACTATACTGGGGCCTCCAGGGTCTGTATATGAAGGTGGAGTTTTCTTCCTTGACATTACCTTTTCACCGGACTATCCTTTTAAACCACCGAAGGTTAGTAGGAAGATACTAGAAGTCTGATAGGAGTGCTCTCCTTGTGATATTTGTGTGTGTGTGTATGTTGGTGTATCGTTGTAGGATGAAACATAAAACTTTTAAGGCAATAATGAATATTTAAACTGAGCATTTTGGTGGAAAGAATTTAAATAACTGCCTAAAATTTGCCTGCATGTTGCCAGTTTAGCTGGAGGGGTATGGATTTATTTAGCAAATGGTTGTATAATTTCCAGCAGTTAGTTATTTGATCTGGATTCGTTTCTAATGAGAAAGTGTTTATATTTGAGTTGCAACCTTTGTAAGCACTTAATCTTTCCTGTTGACCCATATCATTCACCAGGGGTCTGTGGCAGTCTGAAAGAATATGCATCTTTTGCACTACCCCATATAAATTACTTCTGCAGATGCAAGATACACTATTTATTGTTCATGAATATTGCCTTACATCACTTTACTGGAAGAATGTGGAAATACGGCAGCATAGGCAAGAAACCAGAGTGAAAGACATGAGATTTGCAGAATTCCTTACAGATTGGTTTCCAAAGCTGTCAATAATGACACTAATCAGAAACATAGAACTGTATCAATAACATGAAGGTGGCATAGCCACGACTGAGTAGGCTTGGAATATCAAACAGGAAAAATCTAGTGATTATGAAGACTGGATAACCAGAAATGGGATTACATGTGGTAGTGCAGAGTGTCACTGACAACCAGTAGTAATAATTGCTGAGGGAGGGTGTCAAAATCGGGCTTTATTGGATGGTCACAGGATTATTTCAAACCAACCATCTAATGCATCTAAAAAGAAGACATATTCCTAAAATGCATCCTCTGACATTGCCCATAATGATAAGGAATTACCGATGTCTTATATGTGACACTTGTAAGACCTTATCTGGAAGACTGAGTGCAATTCTTAACACACATACTCACTAACAGGAACGGAAACTGGGAAAATTTAACCTGCAGGGCTCTTAATAGAATCAAATAAATTGATGGGCCTATCTTTTATGAAGCAAAGTGAAAAGCAGTGAATTGTTAATGTTGCCAGCTTGGAGAGTGAGGGCCTGGAACAGCTCCCCGAGAGGAGCTATGGAAGCAAAAATATTTACCTTCTTTTGACACATTTTTGAAACAGTTGGTATGCCACACTGGTCTGTAATAGAAAGGTTTTGGATCAAAAGAGAGAATAGCTGATTCTTACTTGATTACCAAGAGTACACTGTTGAAAGAGAAGTGTTTATAAACAGAACTGTAATGCCACAGTAGTAATATTTGTAGTAGTTAACATTGATATTATCAGGAAAAGTTTTAAAAAAGAGACATGTGAATTCAAAGTAAGTAGCTGTTGTTCTGTTAATTGGACTTTCCCAGCCAGTGACCTAAAGGTGGGTCAGTATAGCAGTATTAGAGATGGTCTAACTTCGTTTACTTTTAGTGTTCAAGTTTAGGGAAGCTTTTAGTCTTACAGGGGTTGTACACCATGCTGACTGCACATTTTCTGATTTAGATAACTGTGATTGCACAGTTAAGAAAGACATTGAAACTTTTTAGCTTTTCCTTCAGTTAGTTAAAGCTTTGGGCACACTGAGCTGGGGCAATGTGCTATTCTTCCTTCCTCCCTTCCTCCCTCCCAGCCTAAGCCAGTCCAGGCTTCATACTATACAACGAACACCTTAACAAGCCCCTTTTGTTTGCTTCTTTGCTGGGCTAAGTTTTTTTCTAGTAGCTGTAATGCAAGGGTTGCAAATTAAAATTATATTATTTAGAGGATATTGGTATATCCACTAAACTGATTATTGAGTACAAAATAGAGCTTGAAGTTCTCTTGGAGATCCAAACCTAGTATGTAAAGAACTAGATCTGAAAGACAAGTTGGAGGGATGCATTTTGTCATTCTCTTTGTTGAATCTGTTGAGTGTTGAGGCAATACACACAATAGGCATCCTTTGAAAATAGAAGGTGAAAGTCCAGTTTGCTGTTTCACTGTGAGGTGAAGAGTTTTTCAATCCACACTCAAACACAGTGTTTGGCGACTGTGTTATTCTGAGACATGAGTAATGCAGCTGTGCATTACTTATTAATGAAATATCAAGCAAAGAGGTGGTTCTTCTGCTTTATAATAGATTTTGTTTGTCTGCCTTTATCTTGATGCCAATTGTCATTGTAAGAAATGTGTGCATATAAATCATATGAAAATGTTCTGCTTGATAAAGAATGAGACAGTTGATGATGGCATATTGTATTACTAAAAGACCAGTATTTATGATGAGGGAAATTGTTATCTGTAAGAAAGTAATGAGTACATGAGCACAGGGGACTAATGTCAGATATAACAGACTATGCTGCTAGCATATTTTGTACACATCGATTCTTATTCTATTCACTTCAGCCACTGCTGTAAATGACCCCTATTTTCAGTCCTGCTGTAGGATCTCTCAAACTGTTGCTTTTTCATTACACCTATTTTCCAGGCCCTATGATACTGATTCATAGGTGAAATAGTTTGGGAAATCCACTGAATAAAGCAGCATAGAAAGATGAGTGTTTGTCGTAAGGTAACCACTGCCAGTCACTATTGTTGAGATATAGTGGTTCAATATGTTCTCCACATGCTTATTTCTAGCAAAACAGAGGTAGTATGTGGAATGTAATATATGGCCTCAGTGTACAGTGCTATCTGTGTCACTGGATACTGACATCTCCACAAAATTTGTGATATTCAGTGCTGTTCTCAAAATATGTTCATGAGTCCTAGGGTTATGGGAATAGATCATCTTGGATTTTTTTCTAAGAATAGCCCCACTCCTTAAGGCTCTATCATCTTAATAAATCTAGAGATAAAGTACAAGACTGTGGAATGTACTGAGAAAGACATAAAATGTATTCCTGAGTGCTGGCAAGATTACCTCCCTGTAAATACATAGTAGAAAGGGTCCAATTCAGATTTCTCTCTCTGATTGAATTCATACATTACTCCTGAGACTTCTGTGGGCCATTTGCAGCCCACTTTTACTATGAAGTAGGGAAACATTTAAATGAGTACTGTCAAAATTGATCTTCAAAAACTGCGGCCACAAAAAACCTGGGAAGAAACAGAAACTGTATTTCCCAGATGGAATTACTTGCCCCAGCCTGAGGTTCCCAAGGCAGATGCCCCTGTCACATAACACAGTTACTGTTAAAGGGCCTAATCCAAAGTATATTAAAATTTGCAGAAAGATTTCCACAATCCCTCTTCCTTATCTGGTGTCAGCTGATGTGCACAATGTTATCGTGCATGTGTATGTTGCACATGGATGTTAGGAAAGGTAAAATAATTTTTAAAATAAGAAAAATATATTGAAAGTGAGTTCTGGATAAGTGTCTTTTATTTTTGTTATTATAATTTAAATGTATTTGTGGTGTAACCATTGTTTGGTTTGTATTATACAAAGTTCTCAGTATTTTCTAAACAGTCCAGGTTCCTTCTACAAACACTGTTGATGCCTATTCTGATCATTGGGCACCTGTTGCATATTGGAAAACATTAATTAAGATAAAATTAAACATCTAAGAGCACATTTCCACATGCAGAAAAGATGTTTGACATATTTTCGGGGGGGTTTAACGAATGTATAAAGTAATTTTAATTTGTTCTTCTAGATACTTAGCCTGCTTCCCACCTTGTCTTTATGATGTAGAAGAAACACAATTGTTCAGGTTTTGTTTAAACAGAGAAAAAGTATCCAAAACTTTCTTTTTTATGTATTCGGTTTTTACACCTTTGTAGCCTTCAACATCACATCCTCTTAAGATTTTCAAGTTTTATTTCTATTCTTTACATCCTCTAATTATACTGTGTGGTCCAGTTCATGTTCCTAGTTCTGTATATCCAAGCATCACTGCCATCAGGTTGCATCAACTAGTCTTTCCCCTATAGGTCCATTGTTTTCTTTTTGTCTATTCTTACCTGTCAGTGTATCTCTGAAGTTAAGCATAATATCAAATTAAGCTATTCTTCACCAAAAGATATTATACCATGTGGTAAAGAGTATAATTTCCTCTCATGATATTCGCTGTTTTCCCCTTTGAAGTCAGTCTATTTCAGTCTTTCAACTTAGTTTCATGTCTTGAAACTGGACTCCAGTTTTTCCAAGCCTGAGGTCACTGACCCTTTCAGCTCTGCTTTCCTTTTAAATCAATGGCGTTTAGCTTCACTTGCAACTGCTGCACACTCATGCAGAGGAGGGAGTTGTTCTTCCCCAAAACCAGTATATCTGTGTGTGACTGATGCAGCAGGAGTGATGGAAGGCCCATCCCAGCCTAACGCAGATTTATTTCTACCACCAGAAAACACAATCTGTAGAAAAGCTCATCTGAGAACTGACAAATTAGCTTTGGCTTTCTGGGAGGCTCTAATCAATTAAAAGTATTTCCTCAGCTCCATTGCAAGGAAGCTTCTATGGCACTGCAGAAATTAGCTGAGCACCCAGTTGGCTGAGTCAGCAAGAAAGCGGGCAGCCTGCAGAATCACTGGTCTCTTTTCAGCTGCATCCAAAGTATCGTGCTGGCTTTATGAGATGCCAGACGGGAGGAAGGTATGGAACAAAGTGAGCCGTAGATGTGGGCATGATCTCACCTTCTGCTAAAGGCCAGTTGCTGCTGAAGCTTCAGTCTTGGTCACAAGTTGAGGTTTCACTTCAGCCCAAAAATACCGCATCTCCCTTATAGTGAAGCGGGCTGAAGAATGGAGAAGGCTGTGCCCTGTTCAGAGCAGCCACTTAAATGAATAAAAATACCTAGATGGGCTGCCAAGGAAATAACCTTACATTTCTCCAGTGCCTTAATGACCCCTCAACCTTTTTCAGAAATCCCTTCGAGATCTTTTTTTTCCTGCTAGCTGTCTTCCTTTCATCCTTAATGGATTCAGATGGTTCACCTCTTGGCTTTAACAAAGGAAAGTTCTCTCTCCTGCATTGTCTCTTTCTTTGGGATATTGAATGGGATATATA